TGTCGCGCGCCACGAGCGGGTCGGCAGCAGGGAGCTGCACGACGGCCGCACCGTCACGGCCGACGAGGCCCACTTCCGCGACAGCAAGCTCAGCGGCGCCGGGCTCGTCTTCGACAAGGAGACGGGCCGGACGACCGCGCGCGAGACGGCCGACGACGACGGCGTCAGCGTCTTGAGCACCGACATGACCGCCCAGCCCGTACGCCCGCGCGAGAGCGTCTAGGCTCTCTCTCTCTCTCTCTCTCTCTCTCTCTCTCTCTCTCTCTCTGCTATTTGGTGTTATCTTTCTTTTCACATTCTCTGCCTGGTTTACGTATGGACTTGTTCATGATACCCTTCTCTACCATCCCTAGGACTGCACGGATTGGCCATGACGGATTGTCTCTCGGCGCGGCGGAGTCTTGGTTGTACTGTACGCGATGTGATTTTTTCCCCTCAAGATGAGTAGGAACAGGAGCAACTACATAGCCGACACTACTTCATACATCATTATTCATTCGTCATGACCCCGAAACAAGGGGATTCCTCCTCGCCCGTGATCATTCTGTTCCGACTGCAAGACTGGAGGAAAGCAGAAACAGAAGAAAAAAGAATACACGCGGACCTTGTCACCAATACGTCCTCGGAGGGGAACACGCCAAAGAAACCCACGAAAAGACATGCATCAACCGAGTGCCGCCGCGCCTTTCAGCTTGCTCACTCGTACAAGCCGTAGCCCTGATATCGGTCGGCAACGGAATCAACAGATAAGGACGGGTTGGAGCAGTACGCCGAGTCGCAGAAAAAGTGGCCCTGCTCGCAGCAGTTTGCGGGCTGGGAATCGCCGACGGCGAACGACGACGGGTCCCAGCCTTCGCAGGCCACCTCGAGGTCGGGCAGGAGCGCCTGCGTCAAGCTCTCGTACTCGTCAACGGCGTCGGGAGGCACCATCGAGATGAAGCTGGGCTGGAACGGCGCCTGGGTCTGGGCTGGCATGTTGGGGTCGCCCATGGTCGAAACCTCCTCGGGGGACTGGATGGCTCGGTAGTTCATGTACATCCTGACCTGGACGCCCTCGACAATGTCGATGATCTTGCTGCGCATGTGGTCCTCGAAGTCGAGGCTCTTGCGATCAATTTCTTCCTCAATCTCGCGGCGGATGGCGTTGGGCAGCTGGCGGCGGCAGTAGCGCCGGAAGCCTTCGTCGATCTGAAGTGGTGATTTGCCGCCAGACGGGCTTGATTGGCGTGTTGGCGACACGTCGTAGTCTGGCAAAATGTCAGGGTCTCGCCAAAGCGAAAGAGTATGAACGGCCGCGGACTTACAGGGGGACGGGATGTTCTTCGCACCCTCAGGCAGGTCGAAGAGTATGCAGTAGACAGCGCTCCAATGTTTCGCCTCCGAAATCTTCGAGCTTACCCTCGCCCTTAGCTTGGTCTCCTTTTCCATGTCAAATCCCATGACGGGGTCGGGCCTGGACTCTTCACGCAGGTGGCATGAAATTTCCGACCGCACGTGGTCTTTGCACGCCGCTTCGTCGGCAAAGTACTCCCAGCAACGCTTACAAGGAAAGCGTGGAAGACGATGTTTGCGTAGGAGATGCTCCCTGCTTCAAGTCAGGCGATGCACGGATGAAGATGCGCTACATATGGGGGGAGATGGAGGGAGACGGAACAACACACTTGAGACGATGCCAGCTCGGGAACCCTGGACCACAACAGGCACCAGAGTTCCACTTCTTGGGGTCGTACTTGTTGTAGGGGCAAGCGAATTTTCGGTGGCTATCGTCGCTATCTGTCTTTGCTCGCTTGCTGTTCCTATCCTTGCCGTTCTTGTCGCCGTCGCCTCTGTCGTCGCCGGGAGGCTCGCTGTCGTCGCTGCGCTGAAGCTGGCGCTTCTGTCCAGCTAGCGATGTGGTCGAACCTTGGAACCGGGCCCCTTTGGAGCCGCCCCTCGATGAGCTCGACCGACCGGGTTCATCTCCGTCTTGGGCCTCGTCACTGGTTCCCAGCGAGTTATCAATACACTCTTGAATGATTTCCATCAAGTTGTCAACAAGTTGCTTGTTCCGCTTGGCAATGCAGGCCTTGATGAAAGCACTCTCTTCAAGCGCGTGCAGGCTGCTTCCAGGTGAAGTACCAGAGCTGGGTTCGGCGGAACGGACTACACCCTGAACCGCACTGGGTTTGGTACCCTTTGAGGCCTTGCCAGAGGATCGGCTGGACGATTGACCTGAGGAGCGCGTGGAGGTAGACAGCGCGCGGCCCTTTGACAAGTCAGCAATTGCTTTCCGTCTTCTGGAAAAGGGGTTTACCGAGTCAGACTTGGCCCCTTTACGTTTGGTGGGCTCGGATGACGATGATTCAGCCACACGGACAGAGCGGCCTGCAGACTTCGGCATGACAGACTGTCGACTGCTTGCTATGCGCTTAGGTTTGGGCAACGACGTGAGGGGGTCGGCAAGAGGGCGCTTCCTGAGCTGATGATGGGCTTCTGTGAAGCGGCGAACGATGTAAGACCGGACTGTGTAAGATAACCGGCTACGAGCTGGTGATAGTACTCTTTGAAACGACGAAGGATGTTTGAATAAAACGGACCCTGTACTGGGACGTTGAGCTGGTACGATCACAACCATCTCATGCTGGGAATCCTGAATTGGGTTGCATCAAACGAGGCTAGGGCTCATGCTTCGTTGGAAAAAGAGACCTAGGGATGTGGTGTAGTACCTAGTTAGGGTACCTAGTGGAGGTAAGCAGAGGTGATCTGGATAATAGGCACGGGTTCTCAGAGTTGCTCAGGGGAAAAGACTATTGTCGCGAGACTCGGGCGGGCAAGAAGCGTATTTATACGCAGATCGGCGAGTGATGCCCGCGCAGACGAGGAAGCGCGCGGGGGGGAGACTGCGCAAATGCGCATCCTCCCATGAGAGGATGCTCACTCTGAACACCCAAGGGAGGCACAATCTGGTATTAGTATGTAAGGCTGCAGGTTGAACGCTCCTGTTTGGGAATTGACCAGAGGTTCCATCGCCAAAGGTAGACGTCGGTCATGGTTCCTGTACGTCAACGTACCTCGCGCAATGTCGCGCGTTACGTGTGGAGGCATGGGGTACGTCTCTCTTTCTTTGTGTCTTGCTTTCACGTTGCTTCGTCCTCGAATGCGCGCCCGCTCTGTTGCGAGATGGCTCGAGCGAGCAGCTGCGACGGAGATGCTTTATGCGAAATCTTTCGAGGCAGGTTCGCTGCCAGAAGAGTGGTATTTAGAGGAGGGGAGGTTTCGCTTCACGAAGTTGATCGAGTTCTGTTCCGATGCCATTGCACGAAGCAGCAACGAGAAGCACTGTTGAAGCTCAGCGACACACGAACAATCATTCACCATTGACCAGATCAATCATTTCACCGTTGACCAAGCCAAACTCGATTGGCACCCCCTGAGACACGAATCGACGACCAGAAAGAACAAGTCTTCGCCGTTGCCGTCCAAAGACCTCCCTGTCGGAGATTGTGGCGCGACGAAGAAGTCAAGTACAAGCAGCAACATTGTCGCAATCCCGATACGAAAGAGACAAGCTCGCCATGACGCCCAATTCAGGCTGCTCCTTCGATGAGGGTCTCTGGTGAAGGGTATGGCTCTGAGGGTGCCACGTTGAGGATCCGCAGCAAAAAAAGCTGACAAGCAGCAGTCCCCAGGTGCAGGGCACTTCGCATGCACTCGAGAGGTACCGGACGGATCCGTCACTGAGCGTCGCGGAGAGACTTCTCGCCCGCGCGGCCAACGGGCGTGACAGTGGCAGCGGCAGTGAGGCAGCGAATAAGGGCCTGCAGGAGCTGGAAGCGATGATGAAGCGGACGACGCGGGCAGTGACGCCTCGCAGCTGATCGATTGGGTGACGTTTTCATGGGGGGATATTCGATGACCTTGGCTGCATCTGATACATTACGATGAAAGACCAGGCATAGATAGAGTGGTCGTGGGGTTGTGTTTGAGGGGATGGTGTTGGAAGAGGAAGAAGAAGAAGAGAAGAGGAAAGGAGGAAAGGAGGAAAGAGATGAGGAAGAGGTTCACAGAGGAGGCAGGGACAAGACGTTGTGATAAGCCACATTTGTGGCTGTGTAGATTCTTCGATATCTGTTGCATTCTCCTCTCCTACCTACTGCCTACCTCCTTAGGTACCTTGGTGGGAAAATGGAGGTTTTAGTTGTCCTTGGAACATGTAGGTAGCCCTGGATAAGGTAGGTTAGGTTATCCTTGGAATCTGACCTATCCTTGGAATTTGACCTATCCTTGGAATCTGGCCTATCCTATCTTCTGATAGGGCCTATCCTGATTGGTTACTCACTTCCAAGAGGCTACCCTATGCTTTAGGCTGTATAGGTACGGCTGGAGGAAGGGACTACTCTGATTCAGTTAGTCAGCAAGGACTATAAAACGTAGCCCTGGGGGCGCGTTGGGCGACAAACTAAGCCAGATACAACAACTCTTATCCACCTTAATACTATATGCGTTTTGGAGGGCTTTGCCACAAAATAGATAGCGTAGCTGAGTAAGCAGGCTTTCCTATTATAAGCATAAGGTCTTAGGTTCGAGACTTATAGTAGATAATCTTTTAATAAATAGTTTATCCTTTAAATAAATAAATAAATAGATAAAATGTCCTATAGATATATATATAATCTCTTAAATAAATAAACTCTAGAAAAATAAAGTACTTTAGATTTTTTTTCTATTTTTTTTTTCTATTTAAAAAAATAGAGCCTTCTAATTAGCTAAGGCTGGAGTTAGGATAGTATCAGATCCAAGGATAGTGTCAGGTCCAAGGCTACGCACACATTTTGTCACAACGAATGGAGCAAGGCTTGTACTCACACAGGGACAACTATAGGCCTCTGGTTCCGGTAAGGTAGATGGATATCTTTTGAGATGTCCGTCTTCCATCTCAGTGTCTTTGTCAATCGTCGATCTCCATCAGGTTCTTCACCTCATTCTTCACCTGATTCTTCCTCATTCTTCACCTCGCTCTCACCTCGCTCTTCCTCACAACCCAGACTACAGCGCCGCCTTCTGCAGGTTGCTCGCAAAGTTGCCATCCTTCAACGGCACATTCGCCGACCCAAAGTCCGTGTTCTGCAGCGCCGCCCGCGCCGCCGGCGTTAGGCTCTCCCACGCCACAAGCGGCTGCTCGCCGCCCTGGTCCGCCGTGAAGACCATCTGGTGGTTGACAGGCCAGGTGCTGCGGTAGCCGAGCTTGGGCCGCGCGCCGGCGAAGCTGACGTCGGCCGCGCGCCGGACGTCAAAGTCGCCGTGCGCCGACGCCGCGACGCCGACCACCGTGGCGTCCGCCGCCGCCGACGACAGCCACACGACGGCGCCCTCCCAGTCGTGCCGGTGGCCGAGCCCCGACGACGGCGCGTCCTTGGGCATGTACCACGCGTACAGGATGGCGTTGGCGCCGTTGTAGCTGCCCGCGCGCGCGTACACCTGGCCCGCGCTCGAAGAGCACCCGCCGTTGCTGCTGCCCGACGTGGCGAGGCCGCCGCTGTGCAAAAGTCGTCAGTACAGAAAGAAATCGCGGCCGGACGGAGGAGGCGAGCTGCTCACCCCGTGTCGCCGCCGGCGTTGACGGCCGGAAACGGCACGCAGCCGTTGAACACCTTGAGGTACGGCTTGAACTTGAGCATCAGCTGGCCCGAGACGCCCGAGGGCACCGTCTGCGGGAAGCCGACGACGGCGTCGTGGTTGATGACGGCGCGCGACTCGAGCAGCGGCGCCGCGAGCGTCGAGGACGCGGCGGCGAGCCAGGTGACGATGCTGATGAGAGACGGCGACATGGCGACGGTTGAACAAGATGCAGACCAGATGGGGCGATGGATGAGAAGACGATGAGGAGGAGGAGGAAAGGCGGTTCGCAGTGACGACCCAGGCCTTTTCTCTCTGCGTGGCGTCCCAGCCAGTCTTATCATCATGGGATCTTCCCTCCCACCTCCTCCATCCGATGTTCCCCCGCTTGCTTCTCCTCCCCAGGTGCCACCAGAAGCGGGCCGGATTGTCGGAAATGGTCGTGGTGCCTGGTGATCATGTTATTGGTTTTCCCCGTCCTGGTCGCTCTCTCACAGCAATCGCAGGCACATGGTGCCCCCGGTTCACTTTAAAAGAGACCAGGGGTCCTCCGCCCCTCGCCGTGGGCCCGCGCGCGCACGCTATTGGATCGTGTGATCTGGCTCATGGCGATGCGACCCTGTACGGCCTCTGGGTCTCTACGGGGTGTAGCAGCGTACGTTCGGAGGAGGGGGTGGCTTTGGGGAAGGTCCGCGGTCGATGGTCGCCAGGTGAAGAGGAGGGCGTGGTCGAGGAGGGGTTGGGCGACGTGCTGAACTGCCGTAAACAACCCCGGCATCGGCCGATCACAGCGGGGGACGGCCCTCGATCGGGGCAATTGACCCGCGCGCCGTCGCTCGTCTTGTCTTGTGGGCCCCGCTCCTCTCGCTTCGTGGTGGGGTGAACAGGGCCTTGATGGCCTCTGACAGAGGACAGCTGGGCCTCGTGGACAGCTGGGCTCGTGGACAGCTGGGCTTGTAGACAGCTGGGCTCGTGGACAGCTGGGCTCGTGGACAGCTGGACCTCGTGGGAGACGCAGACATGCCGAAATGCGGAACGGCGGGGACATGACATTGACAAGTCGTCGCCATCTCTGGAGGCCCAGGAAGGCCCAGGATCACAATGTCCGGCAGCGGTGATTGATGTCTTGTCCAGCGAGTTGCAAAGAGAAGATAAAAAAATGAGACGTACCGAGTCCCTCCCCCATAGCCATTCCTACTGCCCAGCTATCCAGCCCTGCATTTCTACAGCAACCCAACGACCCCAGAACTTCATTCTAGGAAAAAACCGCCCTTTTAAATAGGATACATTATACTGGTTAACGAAAATTAATTGATAGCCACTATAACTCTAGATCCAGCAGGTGTCTTGTAGTAGTGTTGTACAGTCATCTTAGGTAGAGGGATTGGGGTGAAGCATTCAGTACGTCTCACTTGTTCTGCAACCCGCCTGCTTGTTTATGCGGGACACGACATGTCCGTCATTGCCGTCGGCAGGGTATCTCTGGTTCATTAACGCATGCGAATCAATCAGCAGTAGTAGTACAATCCTCGGCCGTCACTCGTGCTTCGGCCGTCATTCCCTCTGTTGGTCTCTCGGCCCGTATCCCTCTTTTGAAAACACAGAAATCACGTCCAACAAATCAACGCCCCATCAACGCCGTCTACTGATGCATGCCCTCACTGCAGCCACATGATCAAGCCGTGCCGCCTCCAGCCGTGTCGCCTCCCGCCTCGCGCAGCCGTCTAGCTAAAGTCCCACGACTCGCCCCACAGCTCGTTCAAGTTCAAGCCCAGCGTCTCCATGCTAAAGTCCGGGTTGAAAGCCTGGGCCTGCACCGAGTCAGCAACGGCAGCAGCGACGAGGGACGGCAGACATACCGCCGGGTCGACGGCCGAGGGCATCCACGTCATGGACATGGCGGCAGGGCCGTCGGCGAGACCGGCCGCGCTGCCCTGCGAGGCCGGGAACCCGGGGAACGAAAAGGGCGTGACCGACTGCGACTGGTCAGCGGGGTTCCGTGTCTCGTGGGACGCGGATCGTGGGCGGCCTACCTTGGCGCGCTCGGGGACTTCGAGGCCCGGCAGCCGCGCTGCGTCGTTTGCTGAGGCGGCGGCGGCGGCCGACGCCGACGCCGACGCCGACGCCAACGTCGAGGATGTCGAGGACATGGGCGGGTCCTGGTACGAAAGGAGCTTGTAGTGCAGGTTGACGAAACGCTCGGCCGACGCAGCCTTGGCCTGCTCGGCCGTCTTGATGGTGAGATGGACCTCGAGCAGGCCGAGGGCGGCGCACATGATGGAGTAGCCCCAGGGCTCGTTGTTGCCGCACCGCATGAGGCGGTCTTCTTTCATGACGAGGCAGCGTTCGAGCAGCTTGACCGTGTGGGCCGAGTTGATCATGATCATGTGCGTCGAGCCGCGGGGCTGCAGCATGGTGACCTTGCAGAGGTTGACCGCCGTCGTGAGGGCGTCCTCGCGCAGAAAGTTGAGGCAGCGCACGCCCTGGTCGTAGAGCTTGTCGTGGAGGAGCACAATGTCGCGGGCGGCGTTGTAGTAGATAATCTCCGAGTATTGGTACTTTGGGTTGGCCTTGCGCAGCTTGATGAAGCGCTGGTGCAGGGGAATGATGTACTGGCGCAGCTGAATGTGGAGGAGCGTGTAGGCGAGCAGGGGGCGCTTGCCGTTCTGGCTGTTGGCGCCGTCCGTCTCCCACGACGGCAGCGAGTCAATCTCGCGCGTGATGTCGTTGGTGAAGCGGATGACCTGCTCGTAGTCGAGGTCGCCGGGCGGGCCGCAGAGCAGGCGGCTGAGCTCCATGCGCAGCGGCAGGCTCTGGCGGGCGAGGTTCTGGTAGGACGAGTAGGTGTAGTCCTTGGCGGGCTTGGACGGCGGCAGCTGGGTCGTCTCCTCGTCAAAGTCGTCGTCGTCGAGGTTCCGCGGCGCGCCGACGTCGTAATGCAGCTGGCTCAGCAGCGTCGGCAGGCCGTGGTCGAAGCTCGCCTGGATGTCAAACTCCTGGACGGTGGCCCAGATGCGGCGCCTCATCTCCTGGTTGTAGAGCGAGATGCGGCCGCCCATGTGGCCGGGGTCGCGGTGCAGACCGACCGAGATGCCGTCCTGGATGAGGGCGCCCGAGTTGGTCCAGAAACGCTTCTTCTTGACCGTGTTGACGCGCTTGCCGAGGTAGAGGAGGCAGGCGATCTGGTAGTGGATGAGGCGGCGGTGCTTCATGCTCTGGCGCGCCTGCCAGCGCTCGACAACCTCGATCCACTTGTGGGCCGTGTTGTGGGCGTTGGAGAGCATGCCGGTGAAGCGCGGCCGGTCGTGGGTGTGGATGCAGTTGGAGATGGCGATCATGGCGAGCAGCATGGCCGTAAAGGCGGCATAGCGGCTCTCGTGGGCCGCGTTCTCCCACTCCCAGAAGCGGGCGTACTCACGGCGAAAGGTGGGAATGTGGACGATGCGGTGGACCTGCTCAAACTGGCTCAGGTAGACCTCGACGAGGGCATCCGTCTCGGCACGCGGCGGCACGAGGGCCTCGAGCTCGAGGTCGCGCTCGAGGAACAGGCGCTCGCGGTCCTCCTTTCTCTTCTTGCGATCCTTGAGGTCATGCGCAGCGGCTGGGCGCAGCCACTCGTCGGCCGTCTCCTGCATGAACGGGCACAGGCCACCGAGCTGTCAGGTCAGCACAGCAACAAGCAAGGGCTGACTTGAGAGTGGACGTGTCTCCGTGGTACAAGCAAAGGGGGAAGAGTTACCTCGAGGAAGGCCATTGTGGCGTTGTGCGGCCCAAAGTACCGGGTCCTGAACTCCTTGCCACGGAAGAAGCGCAGCTCGGCCTTTTCGGTTCTCGGTGAAGCCATAGCAGGCGGGATGAACCTGGTCGGCATCAGGATCCGA